ACCAATTCCATCGAAGTAGCTCCAACATTCTACTTTCCTTTCCTCTAATACCAAATAAACAAACAAAATATAAAAATGCTTGGAATTAAATTGAAGCAAAAATATATATATATATAAAAACTTAGAATTATTTATACATGACCAATGGATCACGAGGTTTCACTATAACAAAAGTAATTCCAGAAACAAGTCCACCAACCTTCTCCTTCTCCTAGTCCTTATTACTTACGGACATATTGTCATTCCTTTTCCTCTTGTCAAATGAAGCAGACTCAAACCTTTTTTTTGTTTTTCCTTTCCTCTAATACCATATAAACAAAAATATATATATATATAAACAATGCACCCTAATTAAATTGAAGTAAAAAAAAGTTAAAATAATCATTTTTACCTAACTACTTGTGACAAGTTCTACCATAACAAAACCAAAGTCTAAAATAGGATGAATTAGACCTTCTCCAACCTCAATATTAGCTAGTTTAGTAGATGCAACACCACCATCATCAACCTTCACATGATAGTAACAAATGTAAACCAAAAAACATAAACACAAGTACATAAATACACAAACACAAACACAAACAAGTCCTACAACTAAAAACATTAACCATCTTATTCTTGAGATTCTCGGGACATGTAGACCTCTTGTGAACTTTCTTTTAATAGATTTTACAAGTCATCCTTCTTCCCTTTCTTGTCATTTTAGTTATACTTGGATGATTCCCATGATTCTAAATATCTTTTCTTCCTTTTCCTTTTAGGTTTTTTTCACTATTTTTAGAGGCGATACCTTTGTTTTTGATGTTTTAGACAAATATTTTTCTCCATTTGTTAGCTCAATTGACTTTTGGTATACGAGATAAGAACATATTCTTGGAATACTAATGGATATGATAATTATCAAAATTCCACTTTCTAACGACACAAACAATTATAACATATGGATATGGTATCCCATTCATCTCAAACAACCTATAAGTGTATGTTTCCCTCTCTATATGCATTATATATTTATCATGAAAATTGTATATGTTTATGACCTCATACCCATCATGACCATTATGCAATACTCTAAACTTTGAACTTAGATCTCTAAATTCTTATATCTTTTCCTAAATCTTAAGTCTAAAATTTCCTTTATACCTTAATATAAACAATCTCCAAACTATAGTTCTTTTCACAACATAAATCCTAACCTCCTCCAATAAAGACACAATAATTTTGTGTCTTGCTTCTAAAATAAATCCATTTCATGTTTCATACAGAGTTATTTTTAAGTACATTAGATTTAACATATGTTTGAAAGTAAGCCTTGCACCGTTTTTGTGGATACTTTTTCATGAAATCTTCAAGTGCTTGCCCCACTATACTTTCTCAACTACTCAAGATTTTCTTCTAAATCTAGTATGGTACTTGATTTTGCATAAATCCACAACTGCTTCTCAACATCTTCACCATTATGTGCCTTCCTCCATTTAGCAAAAATATATCTAGCACACCACCAATGTTTTGTTCTAGTTAGTAATTCCTTTAGAGTACCACATAATCCATGTACACATAAATAATTAATTAAATTAAGACGACCAATTAAAATTAAAGAAATACCAATGAACCATGCATATTTACTAACCTTTTGCCTATCTATTATGAAAGTCTATCCATATCCATTTCCTTATGGAATCCCAACATCTTCCATCAAAAGTTAGATGAACTAGATCCGAGTTATCTTTATTTTTCCACTTCAAAACAACACAACACAAAGGATAAATTTGATTGTTTACATCCTTACTAATAGTTGGCAGCATTTTTCCTTTTAGTTGACCCTTTAAGAATGCACCATCTAACTTTGTAATTGGCCTCGCACCTCGCCTTGAAGCCTTCTTTTACGAGTATGAACACACACATATTTTTTTAAACTGTTTAAATCCTCTTCCTCCTCTTCCGTTTCGAAATGATAGTATTATTACCAGTACATCTTCTCAACTCAATTGTATAATCTTCAAGCCTCCTAAACACATCCTTCATATCTCTAGAATAAATCAACTATATCAAATCATTTGCATATTTGGCTTGTAATAGCGTAATCATACTTTCATATTAGACATACTCGTCTTCTATGATCTCATGCAACGTCTTACCCAATACATTTCTTCCAAGCTTCTTCATAAAATACTCAAGCAATATATCTATAAGCAACTTTGAAATTTATGAATGACCAATCACATGTGTTATATACATCATATGTCTTCACCATTCATTTTTTAGTCCTCCCATCGATAGAAACTAACACCTTCCAAAGATAAGGGTCATTTTTACAAACAACTTTACTATTGATGGCAAACTTAATCATAGCAGATTTGACTTCCTTCTTATTCTTAAAAATCATATAAAGCTATAAATGAGGAGGATTTGAACTTAGGTCAAACCTAATCGATCCGCTTCCCTTTTTATGCCTAACTCTTCATCATTACTACTCGTAGCAGTCTATCCTCCCTTTCATTTGAATTACAATACTCCTCATTCAAATTCTTTTTTTTTTTTAGTTGTTCTAACTCTTCTATTAATTTTCTTCTCTCCTCATTCCCCTCCACATTTCCCTCTAAAGTCTCTTCCACATTTTCCTTTAAGTTTCCCTCCACATTTGTCCCAAAATTTCCCTTCACATTTCTCCATAAGTTTCCCCCAACATTTCCATCTAGTGTGTCCCTCCAAATTTTCATCTAAGTTTCCCTCCAAAATGACCTTACTTTTACCAACCGAAATTGACTTTATCTTTTTCAAACCTTTTTAATTTCTTTAGCTTCCTCATTGTCCGACAACCCCCGTACATCCACCTAATATTCCGTATCTTTCACATCATCATATGGATCATCATCAACATCTAAATCATAGACCACCCCACTCTCTTTTTTGACATTCCCAATACTCATAATACTTTCTTTATTTAAAGTCCCAACGCCCATCACATAAACTTTATTTAAAGTCCCACCACCCTCCACATAAACTTTATTTAAAGTCCCACCACCCTTACTTCTTCCCACACACTTAACCCGCCCATATTGACCTATATTGACATTACTATCCTCACCAATATTAACAACACCATGGTTACCTACATGAACAATGCTACCCACAACACTATCCATATTTTTTTCGTTTACTTCCTATCCAAAACTACCCTCACCAACCCATTGCCCATGTTCATTTAGTCCTAACCTTTTACATACAGACTTTTGGATTATCATAACCAAATAATGGGTGCACTCGAATCTCTTCTCTCATAATATATGTTAACCACCAACCTTTTACATAATATATTACATATGTGCAAATAAATTTTATCATCATTAACTTCTACAAGACTTCGTTCAAAATTCAATTGAGAGTTTAACTTCCTATAATAAATAACCTTGCATTTTTCATATCCATAATCGTCAGCATATTCTAAAAGCCCTATAAATTGTATTAACATTACTTTTCTCAATAACCTCAACTTCACTAAAAAACAAACTTTCTCTTTTTCTCTTTTGTAATTTAACCCCAAATTGAAGCCTTAATGTTGACATTGTAAGTCCTATAGTCTTTAAGGATACATAAAGGCAAAAGATAAAAAATATATTATCAAAGACAAAGATTTCAAACGATAAACAACACAAGAAACCCATACAAACACAAACGATAACCATCAAACAAATTCATATAATTTATTCGAAAATTAAAATTGTTCCCTAAACTACGAAAAAAACTTCGTACAACATAAATATGTATTTAAATAATAAATAAACATAACAAAATAATAAATCCATACAATAACTATCGATTTTGACAAAACCCATAATGAAATTCCACCCAATAAATAGAAGTATAAAAAAAAACATATTACACACCTTTTTTTTGGAGTCACAATTGGTTTTAATCAACGATGAAAGTTGAATAAAATGAAAAGCAGGAGGAGCAAAAGAGAGGAAATGTTAAAAGCGAGTGATGATTAGCGTTTTAGTTTCGCGAAATTGGGAGAATGAGGATTGGGGTTTGAGTTTTACAAAATTGGGAAAGTAGAATGAGGAGGAATGAGGATTAGGGTTTAAGTTTTGCGATATTGGGAAAGGTGAAGGAGAAATTGGGGTTGATTGCAATCGGAGGTAGGAAAGAGAGAAGAAACGAAGAGAAAAAACTGAAACAAATGAAGAGAGGAGGAGTAATTTGGGGGATTTTTAAGTTTAGTGGGTAAGGATAGATTGATATTTTCACAACCTATTTTTAAGTTTATTATTACTTAAATAATTAAAAATCCATCGAATTTTTTTATTTTCGTTAAAAATCAATTTAAGCTTGTTTTATAATGTGTTAATCTGTCGTTGAGTAGACTTTGACATATTAGAGTCCGAAATAATAAAAAAATAAGGATATCATACTTAAATTAGATAAAAAATTTTTAAGGTTTCAATAAAAAAAAAATTATACGAAATCTCGATACGTGTAAAGCTCATTCATGGATAATAGCTGAAGTAATTAAATCAACTTTGTTGGATCTTGGTTACATAAATTTCTTTCTTTTGTTTTCTCGAGCCATAAGTTTTTCTAAGAAAGATGTTTAGCCAATGATAAAATATTCAATTTGAGAGATTGCCAGAATTCTTGAACATCATTGGGAGGATGGTTGTTCGGAGGTTGATTTGGAGGTCGGGTCTTTTTAGTGGGTCGAGGGTTAACGGTGGAGGCTAGTTGTCTTGGTTGAGAAAAACTCATTGGTCGAGGCACGATATTTCCAAAATTGAACTTCAGTGCTTATTTTATTTAGTAATATCCCTTATCGCATTGCATTTTCACGTTTTTTTTCCCCCTTTTCTTTTAACGCGCGACCAATTTACTGATGTAAATAATTAATTAAACATCACTAACGGTAGTCCATCTTCTTCCTCCTGTCCTGCATTCACTTCCTGTGATCATTGGAAATGGAAATGAAATTTTAGAATTTTTAGACAAAAAATTAGAAAAACATGGGTACAGTGGAGGAACAGACTTCGCTGTTGGAAGATGGACTCCCTCAGCAGGTTTTTTTTCTCACACACGCTTTCTCTGTTGCCGATTCTTGTAAATGCCTTTGTAACGGGTTATTGAATGTTATATATGGAACTTGTTTCTGGGTTTCTCTTGGTTTTTATGATTTTATAAAGATTGAATTAAAAGAAAGAATAGAATTCAAATTTCAAGTTACTATTTGTTTTGATAAATTTTGGGTTTCTTATGCTTTTAGATATTGACTGTGACTGCTTAAATTTGTTTCCTTCACTAGCTGTTTCATAGCTAGATAAGCATCCCAGACAACTCCAACCAGCTCGATTCTGTATGGTTTGCTGTCTGTATGTTTATGCTTGATTGTTCGTTTTTTTTTTTTTTTTTTTTTTTTTTTTTTTTTCTCCTTTCCTCTTGAGTCTCTGCCCAAATCGTGCTTGTGTAGGCCAAGCACAAAGGTGGACTTGGCATTTTAGTTTGACTGTCTGTGATTAAGTTCTTTCAGAATGGAAATGTGCATGATGGATTCTGTTTGCATCCACTCTAACATATACTGGTCAAAATTAAATTAACTACTACAAATTAGAGTTCAATCAGGGCATGATCATGTTTCTTGCCATTCTCTCTCTCTCTTGTGCTAATTATGAACTTGCTTGAGAGGTGCAAATAAAGATTTTCCTTCTCCTTTGTTAATTCCTTTATTTTTCTCCTTGTAAGCAGCCATTAATCAACCAGTAATTGGTGCTAAATTGAAACTCCATCATTACATACAATCGGCAAGCTTTTTTTAATGGTTACTTGCCTGTTGCAGCTATGACTGCTGGCTCCCTTCATCGAACATTAAGATCGTAGATGTCTTGCATTTGGTGGCATACAATGCTTTGTCCAATTTGTTGGTTACTGATTACTGAGGTTAAATTAATGGATGGCAAAGTTTCTTCTGGAATGTGTCAAAGGTTCATGGCACTCATCTTGTGTCTTTCTTATTTGATGCTGCATTGAATGAGGAATGGTCAAGTTTCAAGAATTTCATGGTAGAGGTATCATTCATGTCCTAATTTTATCAGATATGGTCAAGAGTCCCGCATAACGAAACATGGGACTCAATTCCAAATTAGGACTTCTGCAATTCAATATTTTATCTTCCTGGAAGAGGTAGTAATTAGCTTGGGGTATCATGTCCTAGGAAATCTAATTTTTATTTGAGTTCAATGCTTGGACAGTTACCTATATCTGATATCTATACCTAAGTCTGTTTAACGTAGAACTTTTCTGTGGAAAAAAAAACATCGAAATAACAAAAAATACTGTAATTGTCTCACATATTGACAACTGCAGTTTAGCCAAATTTAAAAATCAGTTTGTACAAGCAATCTCTGTGATTTGCATTCATGTGTGAATTAGGTTGTGCCTCAGTTGTCAATCTTCATTCCTCAGCTTTCTTATGTTCTTAGGTGTGTCAACATATTGGTGCACTGTTGTGTCCATGTCTTGTAATAGTTTCCATGTCACATACAGGGTGGACCAGGCATGGCTTACTTTTTTATTTTCCAGTGGCATTTAAAAGATCGTTGGTGCCCCTTTCAACAACAGCCAAAATATAATTTTATATGATCACCTGTGGTCATTATGGATGTCCATTAAACACTGCTAAAACTACAAACCAATTTGCATCTTGCACCATGTCACTGTCACATGTTGTTTTGTATTATATTTTCAGAACGGAAGGAATGGACTCTACACAGGAAATGGCTCCGTCGACATTAATGGGAAACCTGCTCTTAAGCAGAAAACTGGAAATTGGAAAGCATGCTCTTTCATATTGGGTAATATTTATTATATTACACATTAATGCGTGATTATGTTGCCTATTTTCTTTCTGACTTCTATCATATATACCACATTCAGGAAATGAATGCTGTGAACGTTTGGCCTACTGTGGAATCGCTGCTAATCTCATCACTTATCTTACCAGACAGCTTCATGAAGGAAATGCGTCAGCTGCAAGAAATGTTAACATTTGGGCAGGAACTTGCTACTTCACGCCCCTCATTGGAGCCACTTTGGCAGATGCTTATTGGGGAAGATATTGGACAATTGCCACTTTCTCCACAATTTACTTCATTGTAATTAGGAACTGAACTCATTATCTCTATTCTTTGCCTGCATCGCCAATCAGTAGTTCATTTCTGTTGCTTGACCATAAAGCTCAAAATCTTGCTCACATCTCTCCAGTTAATGGAGCTTCCTTGGTTCTTATTTCTTTTCATTTAGTCAAATGCATTTGCTATTGCTACTAAAATATAGTTTCTACTTTTATCAACTTTTCTTGCTTGTAAATTTATATGTTCAGTGTTTAGGAATGGAAATCTTGTTTTAGCTATACCAACGAACAGAAAAACTTTTATCAAAAGCCTGAATGAAGTTTCATTGATTGTGAATTTTTATGTGCTAGGAAGTGTAGTTACTATGACAAGCGAAGTCAATAATTTTTTTTTATGCATGCTTTGGTCGCTTTTTGCAATATGTAGTCTATATTGTTTTCTTCAAGAGTTGGATAACTTCTTCATGTTAATTTGTGCAGGGAATGTGTATGTTGACTCTCTCAGTATCTATTCCTGCATTAAAGCCAGCTGAATGCGTAGGTTCTCAATGCCCTCCAGCAACTCTGGCACAGCATGCAGTATTCTTTTTTGGTCTCTATCTGATTGCACTTGGGATGGGTGGCATCAAGCCATGTGTTTCATCCTTTGGGGCAGATCAGTTTGATGACACTGATCCTAAGGAACGGGTAAAGAAGGGATCCTTCTTCAATTGGTTCTATTTTTCTATCAACGTTGGTAGTCTTATATCGAGTAGTTTATTGGTATACATCCAAGACAATGCTGGTTGGGGTATAGGATTTGGAATTCCTGCATTGTTTATGGGCATAGCTATTGCAGTCTTCTTTTCAGGCACACCCCTTTATAGATTTCAGAGTTCTGGGGGAGCCCTTTTACAAGAATGTGCCAAGTTGTGGTTGCGTCATTCCATAAGTGGAATCTGGAGGTCCCCCAAGACAGTAGTCTCCTATATGAAACACAAGAAAAACACTCCACCATTGAAGGAAGCCGGAAACTGGTGCACAGCAATGACTTTAAGTATTTATCTTCTTCTTTTACCTTATCTGATCTACTTTTCTCAGTTTTGAAAAATCCATTCTGTTTGATATGTGTTTTTGCTATCAAAATTCAATTGTTATCCAGTGAAATATACACAATTTGTATGAGGGGTTTTGAAGTTTCAACACCCCACCAAAGTTGAATCTTCTGTTTTGGTTTGTATACAAATGCAAAAAGTTGATCATTAAATGTGAATGATGGTTAAGAATGGCCTTTGTAATTTCTTATAACTTATTTAAGCTTTTGTGCCAAGTGATGTGCAGAATGCACAAAAAAATTTCATATTCTGTGGAGTTCAAATCCTCTCTTGTTTTAATTTTTAACTACTCATGTTTTTGTAAACTTACACTACACAGGTATCTTTTTTTTTTTTTTTTTTTTGGGCAAATGCTGCTCTGTTAAACACAAGCCCACTGTTTGCACACTCTCCCCCTCTAATGTCTTGTCATGGTTTCCGCATGGTTTTTTCCACACTCTCCCCCACTGTTAATGTGCTTATACATATATATGAACTGCAGAAGAGGCTTAACTAATGCATATTATCTTGTGGAAGACTTTGTATATATTCTCTATCTAGTAGCAGAAGAATCATGGACTTTTCAGTTAGATAGATTTTTGGAAAAGTCTGCTGATGGTCATATGGTCCTTTGTCTGTTCTCATTTCCTCTGAACTTCGTCTATTCAAGGTCTTCTTGCAATTTCATTTGGTGTTTGAGACTATACCGTAGTTGGTATCCTGTTGAGTGCTGGAGAAAAGACTGTAGATCAAATTTAGGCTTACAAATTTATTATCTCTGATATGCCAAAGGAGTACTGGAAAGAAGGTTTCAACAGACCTGCCTTCTGTCTTAAATGAATGCCTTTTAATTGATTTGGGTTATCTAATTCCCACTTTAGCAAGTTTATGTGGAAGTTTCAACATTCAAAAGGCATTGAAAAGTTTTCCCAAATAAAATTTAACTAAATTCCTATTTCCTTTAGGTTCCTTGATAAAGCTGCTGTACTGTCAGAAGCTGAGATAAAAAGTGGGGATTTTGCTGATCCATGGAGGCTTTGTACTGTGACTCAGGTAGAGGAATTGAAGATTTTGATCCGCATGTTTCCAATCTGGGCTACAGGCATAGTCTTTTCTGCTGTCTATGCCCAAATGGACACAATGTTTGTGGAACAAGGGATGCTGATGGACAAGCAAATTGGTTCTTTCACCATCCCTCCTGCTTCTATGTCAACAATTGTTGTTATTAGTGTCATTTGCTTGGTTCCAATCTATGATAGGATCATTATTCCAATTGCAAGGAAGTTCACTGGGAAAGAGAGGGGCTTTTCAGAGTTGCAGCGCATGGGAATCGGCTTGTTCATTTTGATGCTATCAATGACAGCTGCTGCTTTGGTAGAGATTAAGCGCTTGGAGCTGGTAAAAGAGCTTGGGTTGGTTGGTGATGCTGTTGCAGTGCCGCTTAGTATCTTTTGGCTAATTCCCCAGTATATGTTGATAGGAACAGCAGGGACTTTTACACTCATTGGTCAGCTTGAATTTTTCTATGAACAGTCTCCAGATGCCATGCGGAGTCTATGCAGTGCATTGTCACTTCTGACTACATCTTTGGGTAATTACCTGAGCTCTTTTATTCTGACTATGGTTACTTACTTCACAAGCACGGGTGGGAAGACAGGATGGATACCAGATAACTTGAATAAAGGACACCTTGATTATTTATTCTGGCTTTTTGTTGGGCTCAGTTTCCTCAACATGCTGATCTACATTGTCTGTGCCAAAAGATATAAAGAGAAGAAGGCCTCTTTAAGGTTTTAGCAAGAGGGGAGGACTAGTGGCCACATGGGGAAAGGTTTGATTGCTATGGTTTTTACACAAGCAAGGCATGTTCTACTATACATTATCTCCTTCCGGTTTTAAAGCAATGTATATAATATTGGTTAATGCTTGTAATATACCACTCTAGTGATTTTTCATCGCTCAGCCTGGTTAAATACACGCAGTATGATGCAATGCTTATAACTTGTTTGGTTTTTAATCCGGTCCTTAGTCGTTTTTTTTTTGGAATGATTCAGGGGATAACAGCCAAACTTATTTGGGTGCATTCTTGTCGAAATAGTGGGATAAAAAAGGTGCAATGGTCAATCTGCTTTGCATTTCTACAACCAGGTTTCTGGCAAATTAGTAGTTTTATTGCAAAATAGATTGCTCCAGTTCATCTTTTATTGTTTGGGTTACTCAAGACACCTTTTAGTACACCTGCAATAGATTTTCCCTGCATTTCCTTGGCTACTAACTACTGCCAGAGGAACTCAGCTAATTGGGCCATACAGATTTATCTATCGGGACTCAGGAGTATAACTATTCTAATACCCTGAATTTCCTTGTCAACATCCTTATTTGCTCATTGATTGGCACCTACTCCATGCATCTTAAAGCAGGTTAGGCACGTTGATTCAGAGAATTGCATTTGCCTCTTCATTTTTTATTTTTATTTTTATTTTTTATTTTTATTTTAGTTATAAAGGAATGAAGACTCCATGTAAAAATTTTGTTCGAAAGCCAAGGCTTTTTTTTTAAAAAAAAATATCGATATTTAGTGGTAAGCAAAAGTTTTATGATATTCTTAATAATTTTTTTTGGATTGAGAAAACCAAGTTGGATTGTATAAGAGGACGTAGTGTGATGCCGGATCAGGAGATGTCAAACCAAACCAAACGAAAGCTCAAATACACAAGCACCAAGCAAATAGCTGTAGGTCAAAATATTCTAGCTATAAACCAGTCTTAAATTTACTTTAAATAACCCTCCATCAACACACAATCATAAGCAATCACAATCAACTAAATCTTCAATACAAACACAAATAAAATCCATAATCTCCAAACAATTAATCACAAAATCCGAATCTCGTAAAGGTGCGCCGACCTAGCAAATCAACTTAAAATTAATTAAAATTTTTAAAAAACATAGCCCCTTATTTAAATAAGTTAAATACTGGACAAAATAGTTTCCAGTTCAACACCCCCAAAACCCTATCAAATATTTTTGAAATTTTCTGATTTTTATTTTTTTTATTTTTTTTTATTTTTTATTTTTTACAAGAGATAAATCAACCCCTTAATAATAGACAATCAAAATTTCAAATCAAACAAAAATTCCTAACCTCGGTTACTAACTTTGAGACCGAATCTATTTAGTCTTAGAATCCAGATTAACCCACAGCTTATGAAGCAAACACAAAAATAAAAATAAGCCCCAATGTCTCACTCTTGAAAAGAATCCTCCACTCAAAATGATTTAGAGAGCAATTATGGAATTCGTTTGCCAATAATCCACCTAACGCATTTGTTAATCTAAACCCATTTTAGTTAATCTCTCTAAGGATGTGCTCACGACGCTCTAACCAATCCAAGCAAAGGAGATACACAAGAAATTAAAGAGAAAACTCTCTAATTTTTCATTCAAATTTTTATCAAAGTCTATTGAAAAAGAAGCACAAAATGTGCTTTAAATATTCACACAAAGACCTAAAGAATCGACTAGGGTTGAGCTTTCTCTTCCTTAGCCGATTATGACTCTTTTCCTAAATAGATTTTTTTTTTTTCTAATCGGCTTGGATTTATGCCATCTATATTCAATTGAGACTTAATTAATTCAATCCAATTAAATATGGATCCGCACATTACATGAACTCATAAATAAATAAGAATTCCTAAACAAATAAAGATTTACAACACATAAGGATTAATCACCCACCTAGGCCACATGCGGCTATATCCTAATTTAAGTAAGAAACCCGAAATCCCATGAGGACTAATTAATTAGCCCAAGTCCATACAATTAAAAATAACCCAAATAAATAAAATATAATCCGAATAAATAAAAGACAACAAAATAGATAGACGAGAGGGCTAAAAGTTTCAGCCACTATAAAAAGCAAAACTTTCGATCAGTTAAAAGGTGGATGCTCCTACATCATAGGGGATTGTAACTTTTTATCCGAATGTCTATTTGATGCATGCCAATTCAAAAAAACTAATTTAGAAGTCCATAACTTGGTGGTGAAAAAAAACATGTCAATAGTCGTTTTCGAGGTTAAAATCCACTCCAAAAACTATTTTCAATTCCTTTTTGTGATTGGACTTATAAAACAAACCTAGATTATTGCATTATTTGTTGAGCAAAAAAACTCTTGGCAACCACCGCAAATGGTTATTATGCCTTGAAAGGCTCACAATAAGACCATCGCATGTTGCATTTGTTTTTTTATATGTTAAAGGATTCATGAAAAGTGTAACACAATCATTGTCATATTATTTATTAAAAAAAAATTATTATTCTCTATCTTATTCTACATGATTACATAAACACCTTTGGTAGGAAGGCTATCCATAGAAAGGGATAAATATATAAGCTCAATTTGTCCATAAATATTAATTAAGAATTTTATTAATTTTATTATGTATTGATCCTTGTTATTTTTTCTTAATTTTGACATGGGTTCAAGCTAAATAACAAACGAATTGGACTGAAAATTGGCCTTGTACATCTCAAGGTTTTGGGTCATGTAAGGATGGAAACGAGATATTCGATAGGGTTAGTATTCATGTTTTGTTTTTGGAATATATTAGGAAAATTGACTCGTAGACTCAAAGTAGAGTCTCGTTAAAAGAAGAAGACGTTTTTTTTTTTTTTTAAACAAGTTATAACGAGTTTAATTCAAAAGAACCCAATTTGCTTCAATTCAAATTTGACCATTTAAACATAGATTATGTGGCATGATCCTAGAAATCAATAGTCATCTTCAATTCATTATAAATACTAATCTCTCATTATTACGAAGGAATCCCAACTTTTGATCTCTAGCAAAAAAAACTTTTAAATTCTCTCGTTCAAAATTCTTCTATTCACAAACTAAACATCACTTAAAACTCTATTTGTTGGTACTTCCTACTCCTTTATGCATCTCATCACTACTTGCATCTATTTTGCTTGGTTAGTTGATCGTTGTTTCTACAAATAACAATACTAGCTTTCTAAATCTTGATCAGTCTGCCAACTAATAATTTGATCAGTTCTTCAGAACCCTCCACGTAGCTTCTTCTAGTATACTAATCAAAGTTCATGGTATCAAGCTCATTAATGAATATAGAATTCTTTCGGATGCAAAACTAGAAGCTATGATGCCCAGTGCAAGGTAAGATGCTACGGTTGATGTTCAAGGATCCACATGCGTGTCATTCAACCTGATTCTTCAACTGATAATAATGTGTTATGGAAGGTATGTCCTAGTTTGGATTTTACAGCGACCAGAAGTGCAAGGGAATAGATAAGAAGAAGGGGAACTAAAGTTGATTGGTATAAACTGGTTTGGGGGCCGCTCACATCCCTAGACACAGTTTTTATCACCTGGTTTGACGTGCTCAATAGATTAACAACAAGGTTAAGGCAATTCCCATGGGAGGGAATATCAGACCTGACTGTTTGCTATATGGAAATGCTGACGAAGATAGTGACCACCTGTTTTTTGAGTGTTCATATTGTAAAGCTGTCTGGAGTGTTGTTTTGCACAAATGTGGTTGCAACAGAATAAATGGTCGTTGGATGTTGGAGTTTCAGTGGAATGCAGTCATTATGGTATATGGAAGCAAAAGAATCAATGGGTGCTTGACCATGCATGGTGGCTTCTATATCCTCAAGGATTAGTCAAATGGATATGCCAGATTATTTGCTGCGGATTCTTGATTATTACAACTACTACTACTCCTACTATTGTTGATCTCTTACAAAACATAGTTTTAGAGAGAAAAGATAAAAGAAAAAAACAATACAAAACAAAAGGTGAAGACATATAAGACTATCTAGCTACAACAAAAGCTCTGTGGGGACTGTTTGGCCATTGAAAATATTCTCAAGCTAACCATGCAAAAGCCTTCCCGAAAATGGATTGATGGAAAGTCTGCTTCGGGATGGATCTGAAACTGGAAAAAAGTTGCAGTTCCCTACCAAAGCATACTCTTCTTCTTTTTCTTTTTTTCACCTTCCATGCATGCTTTTGATCATTCTTAATGCAATCTTATCAAAAACCCTCCATTGCTCCATTATCAAATATAATGCTCCAAAAAATCCCCAAAAGCCAAGCACCTAGCCGATTACCACCATTCCAGAGAATAGTAACCTTTCTAGAATCCTCAAAACCAACAGTTTCTTGATTAGGAGAGGAGGTGTTGAAGTAGCAGGCTATTCCATCAGGAGCACCACATAAATATTCATTCCCAATGCATACTGAACCATCCCCACAAAATGTGTTAAACCGCGTACCTGATGGAATCTTCCTACTCTACTCAGGTTGTTGTAGGACAAGATCATATATAACACTGGAAAGGTCCAAAAAATTTATGGGTGCTGGGATCTGCCCACTCAAATTGTTGAAACTTAAGAAGCACTCATTTTTTCCTATGGTGTTTGGAATCTCACCATGTAGACCATTCCGGGAGAGGTTGAGCATGAAGAGACCTTTTAAAAGGCCTGTTTCCAGGGGAATGTTTCCTTCCAAAGCATTCTGTAAAGGGGGTAATTGCGCTATAAATACATCAATTTTTAACTTTTTTTTCAATAAAATATATGGATTTTAGTACTTTTTTTTCAATTGAATGTATGGATTTTAATTTTGTTTTTTATTTAAGTATATCGATTTAAAAAAAAAAACTGTCAATCAAATATTTTCATTATAACACTTTTTAATCTTTTTTTTTCCAACCAAATATATAAATTTTAATTTTTTTTCGCTTAAATATATTAATTTTTTTCAAAACCATCGTTCAAATATTTCTATCAATTTCTTCATTAACTAATGACCTATCCGTTATATTCAGAATATCAATTTCTTCATTAACAGATGACTACCTTTAGAATATCAAATTTTAATTTTAATTTTTTTTTCTCAATCAAATATATAAATTTTTTATTTTTATCATTTGAATATATAATTTTTTCAAAACCATCAATCCATTATTTTTATGTTCACTAACAAAATCCACTACTTTCGTCAATTTTTCTATTAATTGCCAAAATGATCGTTGCTTCCCCCAACAAAAATAAATCATTATTCAGGTATGATTTTTTCCTGGTTAATAGCATTAACCTTGCTGAGCAAGCATTTATTTTTTTTTTTAATTATTATTATTCCAATACGTACTGGAGGCAGTTGGGTACTAGTTCTTGGAAGTAGTGGACATCCATGGACCTTAATAATAGCATTAACCTTGCTAATCAAGGAAAAGGGAGTGGAATAGGTCCTGCTTTTTTATCTTAAAAACTACTAAAGTAAGAAATCCAACAGGTCTTGCTTTTTCCCTAGTGACAAACGAAAATAAACCAGAGGTAACTCTCTTCATTTTCTTTTCTTTTTCTTTTTCCCAACGAACATGGTGTGTTTTTAGTTAAAAATGACTTGTGCAAATGTACTCTAGCAAAGTTAAAGCGAACAATTCACGGCTCCATCCTCTCTTCTATTACTGATATGGAAATAGTAGTGCAAGAAAAGGTTTCATTGGGAAGGAGATGATACCTTCGCATTTCATGGTCGATCGTGGACAGCACGAACAGCCAACCTGGTATCACTGCTGCATAGTTTGGATTTGAAACAGGGAATCATGGGCCGCTATGCAGGAATGTAGCAGAAAACAAAGCTGGAACTCATAAATTAATCAATTAATGAGATACAACGAACCACTAGTCAATTCAATAGGAAAAAAAATTACAAGCACTACTGTCATTTATCACATGGCATTCTGGTGCTTGGGGTTCTAACTTAAAAGCCACAAGCAGCTTCTCTCTTCATAGCAAAAATGCAGGTTCCAAACTGTAATCAAATCATTTGATCCATCTGACCTGTTTTCCAGTTGTGACTTGGGAGTGGTGCGACTCAGGAATTTGGATCCCATTACACATCCACTATTCCTCGCAATTTGTTGATGAACTTTGCTCTAAACTTCTATATTAGTATAGTACAAAAGCCAAATACTGGCCAATCATAGGACAACATGTTTCAGAGATGGAAGGAACTGCAATCATCTTAAAGCCAGTTAATCGCTTCAGCTGCTAATTTTAATTGGATAGCATGCCAACCCACAGCAGTCTAGATGCAGAATGTTAGATGATTGCTATGGTTGCAGTACAACATTCAAGCGCGAGAAGAAACTGCATCAGCCATGCCTGACTTATTCATCCAGCATGCTGAAGAGAACTACGTGTTTATGTTTTTTAACAAATCTATGAAGACCCACCAACATGACTGCCAAAACCCTTGGCGCTATCATTCTTTCTCCATCGTTGTTTCTTCTTTGCTGACTTCTCTTTCTTTGAGCCACTTTCATCATGTCTGACCTTCCCAATGTCACCATTTTCTTTCAACTTTTTCCTCCCAGGCTTCTCTTTAGAAGAAACTTTCCTCTTCTTTCCAGAGGAACATGCACTACCATCTCCAGCAACCCCACCTCCACGTGGTAGTGCCTCTTCTTCATCACCCAACTGCCAATTGCACAAAATCTCCTGTTGTCCATAATTTGACTGTAATGGCTCCCCAGCTCCAGGCAGCAAGCTGCTAAAAGTTACCTCTCCATTTTTCCCTCCTTTGCGTTCCAGCAAAACTGGGTCTGGTCTAATTATAGTACCAAGAATGCTCCTGTTGGGCCCTAAGCTTAGGATGGTCTTTGGATTTGTCAAAGTTGTAAAAGCCATTGCAAATGCTGATCTAATCTGCAATAGGTAACAGTAAAAGTACTTTCTCAGTGACATTTAGAGTAGCAAAAGGAATTCAATGCTTTTTATTTGATTCATTTGATGCAAGCAAAAGGATGGAATGAGTCACACAAGTTTCCCATCCCATCTAATGCAACAACCTGAATAGTTGAACCTTCCTAAGAGACGTAAAGGTATGGCCTTTCCTGAAGCTAACCCACCAAACATAACTCAAAGCTAAATAATTCATCTGGGGTAATAGGTAAATCAAAGTGAGTTATAACAAACAGATTAGTTAGAACTCAAAATGTTATGAAACACATTAACTACAAGATTTTGGAGGGCAAACCTTATACCCAAAAATTTGTTCAACTTTTAAACTAAAATGAACCTAACATTTGTCAATAAATTTTAATCCAAGTGCAGTGGAAGTGATGAAAAGCATGCAAAGATAATATTACACCATTGAACAAACCTGGAAATAATTGAACGAATTCTTGCCAATGTCATTCTCTGGAGCCTACTCATCATAAATAAACAGCTTCAGTTCATCTAACAGACACAAAATAATGAGCGATTTTTAGGAAAAGGTGATGCAGGACAGCTTAGGGGCTGTTCCGGAAATTGTTTTCGGAGGCTGTTTAGGACCATATTGGGTTGTATTAAAGTAGGTTTCTGCTGGAATATGAGGGTAGATTTCTAGGAGTCACACCTAGGGTCCTTAAGAGTCACACGTAAGAGGGGGATTGAGTCACACAATCAAAAGAAAATTGTTCGAATCTTATTCATAAGCTGTCATTCATCAATATTGAAAGACTACATGCTATATTTGTAGAGTTGTAGAAGTCTAAATACTATTAGGACAAAAATCCCTAAATCTCCAACATATCTATTCTTGTTTAGAATAGGAAAAATATAACTATTCCTATTTTAGAATAGGATAACCTAACAAAGCTAATCACACATTAAGACTAATAAAATACTAAATAGAAAATAAAACCTAGACTTAGACAAATTCTAGATTTTCCACAAATTACAGAAATACTTGTGTCTACAAAAAGACAAGTTTTGCTTTCTTTGTCGTCCATGAGGTGTGGAACGTGTAGTTTTTGCTACTTCGACACTTCAAAACTCGAGGTCGAGTTTTGTCCAACCAGGGGAGAATGATGTGGACAACAAAGGTAGCAAAACTTGTGTCTTTTTGTAAATAAGGGTATTTCTGTAATTTTTAGAAAATCTGAAAATTTGTCTAAGTCTAAGTTTTATTTTCTATTTAGTATTTTATTAGTCCTAAGGAGTAATTAGCTATATTAGGTTTTCCTATTCTAAAATAAGAATAGTTATATGTTTTCCTATTCTAAATAGACAAAGTTATGTTAGATATTTAGAGATTCTTGTTCTAGTAGAATTTGGACTTCTTCAACTCTATAAATATAGTATGTAGTCTTTCAATATTGATAAATAACAATTTATGCAAAAAATTTGAGCAGTTAGCTTTTGCTTGTGTGTCTCAATCCACCACTTACATGTGACTCTTAAGAAACCTAGTTGTGACTCCTAGAAATCTACCCACATATTTCCTCATATTAGAAACCTACTTTAATACAACCCAATACGGTCCCAAACAGCATCCAAAAATCATTTCCAGAACAGCCCCATAAGCTGTCCTGCATCAAAAGGTCTCAATTTTTTTTTCAAATTGTGAATTCTAATCCCCATTCTACAACAGGGTTCAAAAATGCATGTCCATAAACCAGAATACAAAGGCAAAACCCAAGCATGAACCTGCAATAGATAAGACAGGAGGTCCCAGTCTTTCCTGGGGATGCTTGGGAATCCTATATTTAGATCCAGAGATGCATGCAGCACCCACAGAAAGCATTAAAAGATGTTATTAATAAATCATATCAATGATTTTCTGAGGCAACAAATCAATTCCATTCTTTCATTTGCAAAACAGTCTATATATCGAAATGTCATATCCGAGTAAAGAAAGGCAACCTGTGGGTCTTCAATTGCAATGAGAAATGGCCGTCCATTGTTGATAAACCTAAAACAGAAAATGAGGTGAGATCAAACATAATATTTTAATAACTGCAAGCTATAAGAACAATAAAAATTTTCAATCCTAAAAGCCTTGCTTTTCCTTTACCCTTTGGTATGCTTCGAAAAGAATGTCCCAATCCCTTTGCAAGATACACCAACATTTGTGGTGTTCAATTTCCGTCCATAAAAATCAAAAAAGTGTATCTGCTTTCCAAAACCAAACTAGTAAGAATATAGAAGTCTACAAAGTGTGTTCTCCCAAAATTAAAGGGTTCATATTCTCCAATCGAGTTTAAGAGAATAAAGATAGAACAGGGAACATATCAAATGCATCATGAATGTCATGCTCTTGAAGTTGTGTTATATTGAATAAGGGCTTGAGATACATACCAAGAGAAGCCCCAAATTAAGTTCCCGAGAAGCCTGGCAGTCCCTGAGATTCTGTAGCATCAAATGTGTCATCAGGCAGAGGCAATATCATTTGGTGAGAAAGAGAAGAGATAGTCACATGCCAAGGGAAACATCAAGATACTCTAAATTGTTTCTATCAAGAAGCGTGATCTATCATCGTATCAATAAACTATTGAGAAAATTTATGTTCCCACATAAAAGTAAAATGCTCTATAGAGGTCAAATGCAAGAAAATTCGAACAAAGAGGAAGACAAGTCCTATCTTATCCAAAATAAACTTAAGAAAGTGGTCTGTCAAACATCCAAACCTCAAATGAGATGAAACATGGTACCATTTGATGTATAGTTTCTGTCCTATTAGCAATACAATATGTAAGTTCTTCATTTTACTTTCATTGCTTGACCTAACACAAGATCTTCCTATAAACTCACATGATCGTTTTGGCATCTTACAACATACAGATAGCAGGGAGTTGACAGATTAACGAGTTACAATCTGTCATGCATGCAAGCTAGAATACAGTTGAAGAATTTATTCAAAAGTTTAATTCGCTACCTGTAACATTGCCATAAGCATGGCAAGCAATGCATAAGAACCTATGCCGCCAGAGTATACCTGCATGCTTTAAAAAACTTGAATCAGGCAAACAAAAAGAACAACGGTTACCAATAAAGTGTTGACATCTATAAGAACGCTTTTAGATGGCTGGTAAACAAATAAATACCTCGTTGAGGTCTCTCTGCTGTAGAAATACTTTCAATATCAAACATAATGGTCGTAGTGGAGGCCACTTGGATATTGCATTCTGAAAGAAAGAGCATTTAGCTTTGTCTTCAAATTACTTTTATACATACAAGCACATAAAAGAAGCATGCATGTGCATTGGGGCACATAAGATAGAGAAAGAGAGAGATGATTTTTTATACTTGTTCCTCACATTATAGAGAACGAATTATCAGAAAGGAAGAACACAGATAACAAACCTTAATAAACTCGGCAGCTATGGGTCCACCATTGACATCAAAACTGAGATCCAAATCATTAAAAAGCATTAATCAGTTTCCAAAACGAACAATGCACAATGTCAGAAATTCAGTTGTCAAGGTGACAAAACCTACAGGATTGCATATAGAGCTCCAGAACCATAATATATATGAAATTCAAAAAACACAGATTTTACAAAATTGATATGTCCAATAAAAAGATGGGAGGAAAAAAAAAAGCATCTTTGCTAAATTAACAGCAGTAGCATAAAATTTTTCTTAAATAACCTATACCTAGAGTATGCAGAATAACCTCTTCAAGAGGATCTCTACATGCACTTACCAAGGTTTCAAACTGAGTATCTCATAATGGTCAGGCTTCATAGAGAATCTCATGACTTCAATTTCTCATTTGGCTGCCCCATGTGTCATGTAAGTTTTAAACTGAAATGTACAGACTAAAATCTTTTCTTTACCAAGTCCCTCAATCATAGTTCAGTATAGCCTCTCCTTTTTCTTTTCTTTTTTCCTTCCTTAATTTATTTACAAAATCCCACAATAATTGAACAAATAAGAAAGCTAATTTACCAAAAGCCACATTAGAAAATAACTACATTGAACTAGAACACAGAATGTAACACAAATTATAAGCAAATCCCTTTTTTTCATATCATTTCCTTTTTTCTTTAAAAAGCATTTGCACAACTATTCAGAGGTATTAAATAAATAAAGATTGAAATGTACTACAAACCGAGAAAAAAATTAATCTCAAAACGTTGCAAGGAGAAAATCAGGCTAAGAAATGGAAATACGAATGATAAATAGGCAAACCTTAAATCAAAGGAAACACCACTTCTCTTTTCAATGAATTTAACAATGGGCACACGAGCCTTTGCTATCACCTAAGACAATAAAAGAGAGCACATTAGACTCTTTTCTTTTTTGGGGCAGCAATAGTACTCCAATTGTTGAAGGAGGTATACAGTATACCTGTATCTTCTTTGCAACACCCTTCTGAGACAATGCCCTGGAAAGAGCGTTTAAACCAATCTGTGGGTTTTTTATTCCTGAACCCAGAATCACAACCTACAATTAATAGCATTTAACAAAAGCTTGGTTTCAGTTGATTAGTCATCATATTCCACAGTAAATTCTTACCAAATTTCACATTATACTTACATCAATGTCACTGGTTGGAAGATAAAGTCCTGTCCTAAACGAACCAAAAACTTCCACCTACAAAGCAAACAAAGGAACACAATTTACAATTTTACTACATTTTATGCTTCTATTATAAATTATTTGTGTGTGTGAGCGAGACAGAGGGAGGGGCACTAAGAATTACCTTACAATTGGGCCATATATATTTAATAACATTAAAAACACATCGTACAGCTTCAGCACGTGAAGCTTGTTCCTCCTGAGTTGGTGATAGAAAATCACAGAAATCCACTATCTCTGCATCAGCCACCATCAGATATGAGCTCACTATAAACCCCCATTGACCAGAATTTCTCAAAAAAGGCTAAAACATATTCAAAGCATCACACGGAAAGTTCACAAATTTACACACTCCCAAGTAAGCTACTCATAAAACTTCAGCATAGCCACATTGCCAACCACACTGAACCTGCAAATAAATTCTTGGAGAGATTGTAGTTTTAGCTATGTTTTATTTTTGCTGGAGATGGAATCAAAATTAACCAAAAATATGGTATCATCACAGAAAACAACCCATCAAGATTTGAAGATACTATTCTTTTAACGAGTCAAACTAAATCAATGAATATGGAAAGCAATGATATTTTCCACCACAACCACTATCTATATAAAAAACTAAGGAGCAAGACATCAACTTTCACACACGAAAACAGAAGTTAATAAAAACCCACAAATAAAATAAAATAAAATAAAGCACTCCTTTATCCAACATATTCAAGCTATACCTTTATGTAACTGTAACATAGGACTCCTAAATTTACTATTCCCTCTAAACCACACACTCTCCAACTTGGGCTTCGGCAAATTATCCGTCTCCACCAACGCCTTCCTCTTCCCCTTAGCTCCTCCATTAGCCGGCGTCTTCAGCTCCAACTCCTCATCATCACCGCCACCAACATCTAGAGAGAAGAAATCAGGTGCGGCAGATTCCGCAGCAGTAGAATTGACGGCGGCGAGAGAAATCTCATTGCGGAACACAGTGTAGGGTTCGAGAGGATCGGACTGCGGCGATCGAATTGGGGTGGCCGTGGGTGAAGGAGAGAGTGGGGTTAGGGTAAGGGTTTCGTAAAGAGGAATTGGTTGGGCTTGAATTGGAGATTCCATTGCTGAGAATAAGAGCGAAACGCTTCGTTTAAGAAAAGTAATAATGGAGAAGAGTTTTGGGGTTAGGTTTTTGTTGTGTTTGTGGCAACGAAAGGGAAAACAATAGTTTTGGTTTTCTGAGGGGTTTTGAATTATGGGGTTTTATAAAGGGAAGGTAGAAGAAAGGGAACAGCAACATAGATAAGGTTTTAGCCCCTTTTTTTTTTCGCTAAGGGTTTTAGGTTTTTACCCTACATAATAAATACTAGTGAAAATTATACATTAGTCTGTTTCGTTTTCGAGAAATGAATTAATTCTCTCTTTTATTTTAAAAATTAATTATTTAATTTTTATATTGTTAAATATATTTATAATTTAGTCTTTTTTCTTGTTTTCAATTTATTTAGTTTTTTTGTTTTAAAATATAAAAAATATAAATTTTTTTATGAAATAAAAATAATATTAAATTAAAAATACTCACCACTATCCAAAAAACTAAATAATAGATTTTGAAAAAAATGATAGATTTTGAAAAAAATGACGAATTGATATTTCTTGAAACTAAAGGAACTAATTTATAATTTACCCTAAATACTAGTGATCTGATTTTACTCCTTAGGCAATGGGTCGATGACCCTTTTTTGTTCATAAGATTTATATTTTACTCACTAAAAGTACTAGTGCAATATTGCACTCTTAGTTTCATAAGAATGGCTAGTGAGTCCTTTGTGATAAGAAATAAGAAGGAAAAAAATGGTCTAAATTTTGTGAAACGGGCACTCAATCCCTTACTTTTAAAAAGTATAACTTTGGATCCTTAAACTTTTCTTCATAGAGTAACATCTTTAAAATTCATCCATCCAATAACAAAGACATAAAAGCAAAAACACTTCATTTTCTAACAATAATTAATTAATTAATTAAAAATACCTAAAAAGAAAATAAAAAAATCATAGAACTTGTTGGTTAAAAAACCTATGTAGGTTTTTTTTTTTTGCCAGCAGGTGTGTGTGAATAGTACAATTCATGTATTTCTCAACAATGACTTGTTGAATAATTTTAAAATATTTTACCTCATAAATACAAATAAATTTTATTACTAAAAACAAGGACCAATATACAATTATACTATTTATACAAAGACAAATAATTAAATAAATTTGTTCAATGTTAGAAAATGAGATTGTAACTTTTAAACGTACATAGACTAAATGTAGCATTATTTAGAAACTAGGGACTACTGCCATCCCCTTTTTCCCTTCAATGATCCGCCATGCCTGCAGTTGCATTATAACATGGGTATTTTCGTAATCTTAGACTAACACTCAATCCCTTACTTTTAAATTTTATAATTTTGGATCCTTAAACTTTTCTTTATAGCGTAACGTCTTCAAAATTCATCCATCCAATAACAAAGACATATAAGCAAAAAAACTTCATTTTCTAACAATAATTAATTAATTAATTAAAAATACCTAAAAAGGAAATAGAAAATCATAGAACCTATTGGTGAAAAAAACTATATATATATATATATATATATATATATATATATGCATTTCCCAATAATTGGCTTGTTGAATAATTTTAAGATATTTTGCCTCATAAATACAAATAAATTTTATTACTAAAAAAAATACCAATATACAAGTATACTATTTGGACAAAGAAAAATAATTAAATAAATTTGTTCAACGTGAGAAAATGAGATTGTAACTTCTAAAAGTACATAGCCTAAAATGTAGCATAATTTAGAATAGGGACCACTGCCTTCACCTTTTCCCTTCGATGATCCGCCTGTGCCTGCAGTTGCATTATACATGGGTATTTTCGTAATCTTAGTAAATTTTCAACCTATACTATTTCGGAAACCGAAAAAGATAGGGAGAGTGATTTTCCGAAAGGAAAAAGGCTTACAGCCATTGAAGTAACCCAGGTTTGTAAACATATATATAACAGTAGAAAACAGTTGACGATATTTTTTTGCAAACGCATATACGAACCAGTTTCATATCCAAGACACAAGCTCCAATGACTTCTACCTCTCAACTTATTCCTTCCGCTTCTGATAACAACAATGAATTTCCCCCGATCTAGTATTTCTTGTTCTGCTTTCTTTTGCAGCGATAATGATCGTGATAGTTTATATACTACTAGAACGTTGTTGGATTTGTTTACGATATCAGGGTTATATTCTCCGTCACCTAAACAATCATCCTCCTCATGATGTTGAAAGAGGACAGGTAACTGGAAGACAAGAATCTGCTAGTCTTTCCAAGTTGCAATTATATTCTGTTAGGGTTGATGAAAGTACAGTTGATTTTAGCAATGGATGTGTAATATGCTTGGATGATTTTCAAAAGGGGGAGGACTGCAGCGTTTTCTCCTCGTGCAAACATGTTTTCCATTCAGGCTGTGTAAAGCAATGGCTGGATAAAAATCAGAGCTGCCCTCTCTGTCGGAATTCTGCATAATGATGACATGCTTCTTTGGTTTTTTTTTAAGAAAATCCATCTGCGGATATTACTTATAGAAGAAGAAGATTACAAAACACCAACCTGAAGATGGCGAGCAAGAAGTAAAGCAAAACGGGAGAAAAGTTATTGCTTCTTTGTTAACTTTTATCCTTAAATTTTCCTGGTTTCTTGATGGATTAATTAATGTAATTTTTTTTTCTTCTTATGAATGTTGATTTCTACATAAATGTTAATTGTTTAAAATTAACATGAATTTTTTTTTTTTTTTTTTTTGGTTAGTTAACTCGAATTTCTTATGTTAAATTGTCAGGTGTCTTAAAAAAATTAATAAATAAAAACAAGTACAATTTTTGGGCCCCTTTCTGAAATTATAAAAGAATAATCATCAAAGATCAACTTAAGAACCAACCAACAAAAACTGTCATCATAATAATTATGAGAATCTCAAAATTATGCTTAGAAGAATTTGAAATAGGAAAGAAAAATAAATAAAACTACAATGGAGCTAGCTTGAATATAGTGTTCCTCAAGGAATTATATTTTATAGCGATACTAAAAACAGGAAGGAAAAAAAAAAAAACAAGTTTCGACGGTTTTGAATTTCGTAGTTTAATTCTGATATCTAAATGCGAATTATCTCTTGGGAAGACCGCCATTTGAATTTGTGAACTTTCTTGGATTGATGAAATAGATTTATTTGATAAATAATAATAATAATGCAAAATTAGCTTTTCTCTCTCTCTTCTTTCTTTTCCTCTTAAGGAAAAACCTATTTTAAAATAAAAATAAAAATAAAAATCTTAGTTTAGACTATCATGGGCTTCCACCTCTTTTTTATTAATATTTTTTTCTTTTTGTTGCGTGGATGATTTTTTTTTTTTTCTATAATCAGAACGTAATCTTTTTTGATGTTTCACATAGAATCTTAGGCCTTTCTTTGTTTTCCTTCTGCTTTCGAGTTACCTTGCTAATAAGAGGAAGAAGGGCACTAGCTGAACAACTGAGTATTTTGATTCGTAGGTTTAATTTTAACTCTAGATGGGAATTTTGTGTCTTGATATCTAGAAGATTAGGTTTTTTTAATAAAGATTTTAAAATTTTATTGTATTATTTAAAGAGATTGACATCTATTGGCAGTGCTAGACAATTAAAATCTTCTATCAATAAGAATTAGTAGTGCTATTTGTTTCCTGTTGATCTGTGGTAACAGGAGACTCATGCATGTGTGCATGATTTAGAAGAAAAATCATTTTTCTGGGAAACCCACCATGATTAGGAAATTTCAAAGAGCTCTATCTGCGTCCATCAAAAGAATAAATGTTTTTCTTGTAAGTTTATGATTCACCAATGCTGTAAACGATTTTGTAACATCTATTTCTTGTAATAGATATGAAGAGTGATTGTTTTATATGAATTTGATATTAATAAAATCAATAATCAAAATAAGATTGAGTACCAAAAAGTTCATGTACTTGTTGCCATGATACTGACAACCAATTATGAATCATACATCTATCTTTGTAATAACCTACCCGAATGGGATAGGTGAAACATAAAGACCGAGGAATCAACTTAGTTTGTAATTTGTTGACAATGATATCTTTTAATAAGAATTTAAATCTTAACAGATTAATTTTGTTAAAACATTTATATGTATGAATTAAAAAAATAAAATAAAATAACTATGAAGAAGTCATTACCAATATTTTATTTTCTACGTATTATTGATCTCCTAATTAATTTATACTAGAAGGACTAAGCGGTAGGTTTATAGGTGCATAAATAGACATTTAAAGATTAAGCAAAAATTGTGGAAAAATATAAAAACTATGTCTAAAACTTAAAGACAAAACAACAAAGAAGATAGAATTGATATGTATAAAAATAATGAACTTTAATAAATAAAGTACAAGACAATAAATTAAAGAAAGTAGAGATGGGGAAAGCAAAAAATAAAGATTTATTCTGATTTAGCCGCGCCTACGTCCAATTCCCCATCACAACTTTGAAATTTTCCAATCCGTGATACGTTCCTACTTATACAGGCGAGGAATAAGGCTTTTACAACCATTATTTTTCTAAGATCAAGAGGAACCGATTTGTTGCAGTTCCAAGCTCATTCTAACCAAATTCTATAAAAATCAGTAATCAAATGATTATATTCAACCCTAGAACAAATCATTCAAAGTTTAAACATAGTAACACAATATGCAAGAATTCAACCAATTAAACTCTCAACAAAGATGTTTATGACATGCAAATATTTATTTAACTTTCTTGACTTTTTTTTTTTTGTCTTTTCTCTTGCTAAAATGCATAGGAATTAAGGGTATTATGGGAGATTTAAGATAATAGCCGTTGTTTCTTGAATGGAAGTAGCAGTTGCATAAAATCTTACCAGAACAGACAAAATTTTGCACAAAACCAACCTAGTCAGTCCTGGACCTCTACTAGGCTAGTTCTCATTCTATTATGTCGATCCTTGGTTTTTCTTTTTAGGTCCAATCTCTTCTTTTTTTTCTTTTTTTTTTTTTCAAGTTTTCC